CCCAAGCCGTACGGCGTGGAGTTCAAGGCCTGGCGATACAACTCCGAGACAGATGACTTTGACCATCTGCCGGATTACAAGCTCAGACGTGCGCCTACGCTGGCAAACAACTAGGAGCGATTGTCGTTTGATTGGGATTAGAAGAAGGTTTTGCGATATGTGTATATTACTATGGATGGTTGGTTCTCCCTGCAACAAGGGTTTTAGAGATGGGTGCGATGGTGGGTTGCCATTACATTTCCGGGATTCGTGTTCTCTCCCTAATGCCCGCCCTCTTTTCACGGCTCTTTTGACGCTTTGTTGCGATGCTTCATGAAGTATACATGATGGTTATGGGCATTTACAGGAGTCTCTTTCTTTTCTTTACATCATTCTTTGCGTAGACGGTGGTATGGGTATATGATAGATTGATGATCGGATGGGTTATACAATGATGATCAGACCTTGGCGTCTTCACTTCACTCAAATTTGGGGCGCCTTGGCGCATGTGATTGTGACTTTTCGCGCTAGGGGGTATATAAACCCTCGTTTCGTTGCTTCTTCCCTCTCTTTCATTCTACATCTTCATACAAACATTCTCCAAAATCAAGATTACAGGATCGCATGTTTGCCCTGTCGGCCTTCTCCAAAAATCAAGCAAGCTGGACGATATGTGCTTGCTGTCCGTCTGTCTTTCCAACACTTTTTCCAAAATTCCTAGCGAACTATTTGATGAGAAGCTTCTCCGCCGAGAACCTGCACAAACACCCAGCAGACCCTCCCATGGCGCGAGCGACTGTGCTTTTCCAAAACCAAGACCCACAACTCGCTATGTCTCCTCCGGCCCGGCTGTGGGAGATGTATAAAATACTTCTGCTGGCTCGCTGCTTTCCTCCAAATATTCCGCATATACTATGATGTTTTCCAAAAACAAGGTGCCATCAAAGGGATGTGTGCGCCGGCCTTCTTCTTTCAAAAAATGAAAGCCACAATTGTCATGTGTGCGCTCTGCTTCGGCTTTTTCCAAAAACCATGCAGGTAAACATCATGTGCGCTCTCTGCCTCGGCTTCTTCCAAAAACATGGCAATACCTAGTCATGTGGAAGACGAGTGTTGTCTGAATCAAAATACGAACGGACCATTATGATGAGCCGAGGGACTTGTCCCGCTGGCTGAATACTCAACGGCCAATCACGGGACATTATGCTCGGGACCGGACACGAGAGATGTATAAATACCTCCTCTTGCTCTCGTGGGTTCTTGTCCTTTACAACTACCACCTTCCTCCTTCTTATACCAAAAAACGAACCCGAAGAGTTCATGTTGGCTTCTGCTCCTGTTTTCCAAAATCACTATCCAAAACCAACATGTGTGCTTGTGCTGCTTTCTTCTCTACCATCAACACCAAAAATCGATCAAAATTCTGTAATGAGGGCCGCAGATCGTATCGAAAAACCCAACTTAGGTGTCGATGGAGAATTCCCCGTTTTTTGCCCTGCGCATACAAATGTATACGCGCACCTTAGATGAAGAACGGAAATAGCGGCCTGGCGTATAAAATGCTCCTCTACGTCTTCCTTTCACTTCTTTATTCCCACACTTCTTGTGTGCTTTCTACCAAAAGGATTAAAGGCAATCCATGAGAGTCCACGACCGAGAACAACGCATTCAAAAATACTTCCCTCGATTCCCATCTTATGTGGTCCTCTCCGCGACTTCTTTGCATCCTACCAAAAAGCCAAGTCGCTTTCCTCTATGTTCGTTCTCGCTCTTCTCCCTCTTTTACCCAAAAGCTAAATATCCGGTTTCGATCATTGAGTGTGCTGTCTTCTTCCTACTTCCACGCTGTCCTTACAAAAAATGCATGCGCTTCACCCCATGAGAGGTGCTGTGCTGTTCGAAAATGGGTAGTAGCCTACATCATGGAGTGAGCTTTGCTGAGTCGCAAACCTTCTAAAAAGTCCGTGACGTCGTTCAAATGGCTGGAGAAGACGAGATGAAGATGAGATATAAAAGCTCCTCTTCTTCCTCTCTTCTTGCTTCCTATACAACACGCCTTCCGGAGATTTACCAAAAAGAGTGTATTTCGAATCCATGGCTCTTCTGAGTTTCTTCCTCCTAAAAAAGATCTGAACTTTGACATGTCTGCGGCTCGCGGTGTGTCGCTGTTACTCTGGCATTCAAAAGCTCACGACAACGAAGCCATGCTCTGGAGATTAGACATCGCGCATGTCCATGAATTATCCCAAGAACCCCGGTGTTATCAAAATCGCCAGTGCAGGAAGCCATGATTGCGAGCAGAGGATCTGGAAATACGCCATTTAAGCTATAAAGCCTCCTCGATTCCCTCTCTCTGGCCTTCTTCACTACTTTCCCCTTTTCATTGTGTTTCTCCAAAACGACCAGATATCAGTTTCATGGCTCTTCTCCCGTCCATAAAACGCTCAAATCCCGCACGATGAGCTGTCCTTCCTTTCCGCCTTTCAAAAACAGCAAGTCTAAAGAATCATGTCGGAGTGTTCGTGGGAACAACCAAAAACCACGGTTGACTGGATGATGAGCAGCGCCTCTCGACGAAACCCCTAGTCGCCAACCCATGTCGGTCTCGGGACTAGGGAGAGAGGGAGGTATAAAGTTCTCTGTCGTTGGCTTGAGGACTGGCTTTCTATATCACACTCTTCCTGCGGTTTACTAAAAGCATTACGACTCAAGACTATGTGCTCTGCTCTTCTTTCCAAAGCTATACAAGAATAGCATATGTCTTCTCGGCCTTCGTTTCGACCCACCCTGCCGAAACTTGCTCTTTGGCTGCTACATCTCTTTCAAAAAATACTGGAAGACACTGTATGTGAAGCTTGCTTCTCAAAACGACCAGGAACCTCTCCTATGGCTCTGTGAGCCCAAACATCCCGCATTTATACATCGAGGCCCAGTAGAAAATACCTTCCGCTATCATACCTTCCGGCTTTCTTCATCTACCACTTTCTACAGTTTCTGCGAAAAAGATACCACATCGAAGGCTATGAGTCGTGGTGAGCTTTCGAATTACGCATGAGACATTTCGATGTTGACTTCTTCCGTCGTTCATAAAGAAATTGATGCCCTAGGCATGAGAGGTCGGATCAGTTCCGAAAGACAACTGTGGGACATATGCATGAGCAGTGTGTCTCTAAAATACCAAGATGCATACAACATGACTTCAGCGGTACGGTGGATCGCATATAAAAGACTTTGCGCATCCTCTGCTTCTTCTCTTCTACACCAAGATACTTCCCGTTCTTATTCAAAATCGCGGAGGGTTCTGTGTCATGACTCGGCTCGTCTGTCCGCGACGCTTACATATTCTTCCAACTTGTCGGCTTGACTTTGAAGATTACATTCTGCTCCAATTTCGAAATGCCAGATAGGGACATATTATGGCGAGCTTTGGTCTTGTGCAACAGAATCTACCAAGAAGTCGAAGATGGTCGGCGCGTCTTGTCGTTGTAAGAGTTGTAGGTTACAATCTGAGCGTACAACGACTATAGCCATCATGGCTAGCGCAAGGGTTGCGTGTATAAAAGCTTCTTCTTCACTGCTTGTTTCGATCTTCGACCATTCATGCTTTCAACAAACTTTTATCCAAAACCAACAAGTCCAGAGCTATGGCCTCCCCGTGCCTCTTCCAAAAGACAAAGCCACCAATCCGATGAGTGGTTGCGCTGCTCATTCTTCCAGCTTCAAAAGTAAAAGCAGTATCATCACCAGCATATAAGCCAGAAAAGTCATCCTCCATCCAAACATCTATCGAGAACGGATTTCCAAAAACAAAACTCACAATGACATGACTTGCGGCTGGCGTCGACGATAAACAATGGATCTAGAAAGCCATGGTTCTTTGCTTCCTTCACACTCTCCACTATTGAGAATCCGGTTACTCAAACAGGACATCATTGTTCGTATGACTGGTGCAGCACTGTTACCTCAGAATACCACACAAAGACCAGTATGCGCGCTCCTGCAGCGTCCTCAAAACTCGTTACTGAAGTCCCATGAGCTCGGGCGCCGAAAACGGTGGTAACAACGCCATATGCCTCCAAAATAACATGTACGCCTTTCGATGTCGCGGCCAGACGTTTCGAAACGTACTAGGGTACTACTAATGTGGCATAACTCGCTTGTTGGTGATATAAAAGGCCCGCTGCCTTGTCCTTTATCATCTCTAATACTGCACCAGAATTTGGTGTATTTAAGAAGTCCAATACGTGCACTCTTGGGCGGTTGAGTTATTCCTTCAAAACTCATTGCGCAACCTTCTATGTGCTGTTGTCGCTCGCGCTTCCCCAAATAATTGAATTATATGTTTCCGCACACGGGCTGTGAGTAGTGGAGAGCCTGTAGCAGGACGTTCAAAAGCGGCGCTACAATGACCTATGGGGGCTTTTACCCCGATGGGCGCCTCTTGCGGGGGTGGTGATGACGATGGAGATGGTGAAGATCGCTGGATGGCAGCGTGCCTGGTCATTGTGCGGCTGGCAATCTACTGATGTACCGGAAAGCGTGGAGCCGTTCCAGGAAACGACAAGGCTGTGGAACTTAATGCCGGTGACAGTAGAGTTGCGATTTGTTAGTCAATATGCACGGGCTGCACAGCTGAAGCGTGCATGCGAGCTGGGGTAGCCTCGTTGGACGCCACGACGCAGCTGCCGCTTACTTCAGCGGAGGGGTCAGCTGAAAAGTTTCCGTGCGCAATGTGAACCTTGATCATCATAGACCCCTTCGCGTGCTCCTCTCATCGTATCATTAGTGCCCGAAAGTCTGACGAACACGTTCAGGCCCCGCCCTCCCGAACTACGGCCGAATTCGTCACGCTTGTCGACACGCTATTCCCGATGGAAGATAGCCCACTTTCTACCGCCGCCAACATCGCTGGCCTCCTCACCTTTGTCGTGGCCATTCTCGCGGCGATTTATGTTCGTTATGAAGACGTGCGGAACGGAAAAGTCGAACTAGCCGTGATCCAAACTTCAGTTCATAACAAAATGTCGGATTTGAACGCAATGGGCATGATTGCGCGCATTACAATTGAGCCAAACGACGGGGCCGAAGCTATCTGGCTGAAGAAGCTTGTCACATCAATTTTTGCAACAGAGATTGTGATTTTATCATACTTGGCATATGCTCAAGGAATTCCCAATGCCCCAAATGTATCGCGCATTATAGAATTGACCACGCTTGTTGGAGTCGAGCCTACGACTTGGAGGGATGCGATCGATGAAGTCCGGACAGTCACAGTGAGGCAACAGCTCTTGAGGAGTAACAATGTTGCTGTACGTAGTCTCCAATCTGTATTGAGACTAGGTACAACGCCACGACTAGTGCGTTGGTATCGAGTTAGAACAAAAGTACTTGAAAGGATTCGCGAAAGAGAGGATCTGCAATCACGGCTCCTATCTCACCAAATCGACATGGCAAATTCGTAAGTTCTCCCAAGAGTGAGACGACTGAGTACCAACTGATGAGTTAATAGTTCTGCCCAGAGAAGTCACGAAGCACTAGCGATGCTGCGGAATGAGCACGAAGAAGCCAGGAAACAACTGGAAGAGCTTACTCGACAAGTGGTCAAAGCGAGTGGAGCGCCAGCACCAGCAGATGGTGTCAACGACGGTGGTGACACAGAAGAAATACAGGCAACACTGTTGTCTATTCAGCCAGAAGTAGCCCAGTCATCTCCCGGTGTTGAGATTAATAGCGGCTGAGGGGGAAACTGCCTACGTATGGCGTCTTCTTGGGATGATCACGGTGGCATAAGCAGCTTCGCCACCCTCCCTACCCATCTCTGCATGATCAAGCTTGCCATGTAGTGCTCAGATAGTTTTGCGTTTTCATCAGCTCTCTCCATCGACAACAAACTTGGGGTCCGGTAGTCCATGTGAACTAAATCTGGGCCACAGATAATACTTCGACACTCGCAAAGACACATTCATATCCCTTGTACCTTGCGCTGAATAGAAAATGGCATGTTATATCAATACAAGAGATTCACCCAACAACTTCCCTTGCAGTGCAAACGACGTCCGAAACAAAGACGTTGACCGCAAGCTATACTTCACGTACGCTTATCGTAGCCTACCATCGGCACCCCATTCCACCAAAGGAATTCCCTTTCCGAGCGCGTAATCGCGAAGATTCTGCCACTGTTGCCGATACCTGCTAGCCGTATTGTATTCGAATCCTTCCTCGCCTATCGTCAGGTGCGTGAGATGGTCATCTAGGGGCTGTCGTATGCACGGCGAGACAAGTGAGAGGACGTGCGGCATTTCACCTGGTACCAAGACAGAATTCTTGACCTTGCAACCCCTTAAGATAATTTCGAGGTCAAGATGCCTGCCATGTTTGGCCAGATACGCGAGGATATCAGAAACATGGCGGTGTACCGAAGTCCGCCCCCATGTATACTCCTCGCGTGGCGGACTATAGAGACCAAACTCGTAGGGCCCATTCGAGCGTAGATCAATACCAGTGAGGCGCATTAGCTCTGCGCTTCCTATACTTGAACGATCTTGTGGGCTATGGTGAAGTGCGGGGCGGTCTTCGATAGTTATCTTCCTCAAATTGACCAGTCTTTCAAAGATCAGAGTCTGCAACTGCATTTTTGTGACCCGATGAAGCCCAAACGCATCGCGAAAATGTGGATGTACCCTCGAGCTGTTGAGGCACTCATGCACGTACTCAAGCAAGTGTTCGGTACCGACGATTAGGTGCTCAACTCTTTTCGCGATATCTGGAGAACTTGTGGCGTCGCTCAACGCTTGTATGCTGACCTTTATGAGCGAAACCTTCACTGTCTTGAAAAGGAAGGAGAATCTGTACGACATCTTCTTACAGAGATCTTTGCTGGCCAGGCGGATTGAGCCCACATCGCTGGCTTCGAGGTATTCACCGATCCATGAGATAAGCTCACCGGGCAAATCCGTCAGAGTAGGCATCATGAAATGTTTCGAGAAGGGTCGCAATTACGAGCAAAGGTGTTACCCATATATAGGATTCATCGTTTGCTGTCAGTCGTCACCTGCTTGCGAAGCTTTTGTGGTTATATCCAGAAAGACATAGGCAAACAGATTGATCACAAAGGCGAACCACACATGAAACAAGCATCATAAGATCTATCTCATCGATCTAGTCTAACCTCCTCCCCACCTCATCTCTTAGCAACGATAGTACACGGCTCCGTCATGTGCCAAGTTCGCAGCTTCGGCTCGCCCAGGACATTGCCACCCTGAAGCAGCATTTGATCGTCGTTCTTCTTATCGTCCTCGTCTCCACCACTCATCTTGATGAACTCCGCTTCATCGACCGTTGCACCAACCTCGTATGTACCACCACATAGTGCAACAATACCAAGCTCAGACTCTGCCGTCTCTCCAGGCTGTATGACGGGCAACTTGCGCTGCAGCACACCTGTCCACGAGAAGCGCTTATCCAGATCCAGGGCTACATTATGAGGCAGACCAGCGACGTGAGGCTGCAATCTGAGTATAGGTGAGATGGGACGTGGACTTCGGTTGCGGACGAACGTCTTCATGGTAAGGAATTCGTCTATCGGTACCTCGAACTTTGCGCGACCGACTTGTCGCACAGCTTCTTCGTCGCCCGCTACAGGGTAGTCGGAGGCGATGGTCGTTTTGATGGCGAGATCGTCAAGCCTGATGGCCTCGACCATGCGCGGCGTGAAGCGGATGCTGCGCAATTCCAGCTCGCCGTGACGTCCATTACCATCCTCCGTCCAGGTTCCGCGCACGATCTTGAGTAGCTCTTCGCGATACCAGAAAGCTTCTCGACTCGCGCGTTCGGTCTCGGGAGAGATCTTGCTCGTACTGACGACGAATTGGCGTTGGTTGGCGGGATTGAGCGATGGTACGGCCGCGTGTGGCGCCTTCAGATAAACCTTTGGAAGGATCATGGCGACTCTGCTAACGTGCCCTGGCTGTATGACTTCGTTGACACTATGCGCTTCGTTCCAGGAGTCGTTGGTGTAATTGCCATCAGCCACCGGCTTTCGGGCTTGGAGCAATATCGAGAGCGGGTTTGGCCAGGAGTTCCTGAGATCCAGGAGAAGCATGCAGTACTCTTCATCGCTATCATCACTCCGCTTCTGACTGATGAAAGACCGAAGATGACCGTCGGCTTTCCCAGATGACCGCGATTGCGAGGCTTCGTCGTCTGATTGAGTGCGCGAGCTTGAAGATGCATCGCTAGACCAGGCAATGTCGCCGGATAAGGGTACTATGTCCGGCCGCTGAAGCTGCACACTTGCGTTCACGGTAATTGAGATAGGTGCAGATACCTGACGGGTGAAGAAGTGCTCCTCTACTTCCGATCTCCGCTTTCCAAGATTGGCATAGTCGATTTGGATAGTCGCATCCGTCAGTCTTGTGCGACCGATAACCTCGATGGTGAACTGCGCTTCAGCGCCAGGCTTAATGCTCGGTGATTCCTCGGCCTCATCTTTGCACCAGCGCAAGGACGGATGATGGGCGAGCTGGACCTCCAACTCATGCAATTCGGCTGCAGGCAAGTCTTTGTTGGAGGTCGCTGCTTGTATCGCAGTGGTCGCCGTATCCTGAAAGGAGATGTGGACGAAGTCGACAGTTGTTTCAGTCGAAGTATTCTTCACTGTAACAGTAAATCGTTTCCTTTCGCCTTCAAGCACCATGACGGCTGACTGCGGTAACGAAACATTGGTGATTATAATGACGGGCTGGTCTGGGATTACCGAAAACGTCAATGACTCTGGCTTTGGCTGAGAAGTTGCTCTGCTGTCGATGGATGGTGCGATTGCCGAGGAGGGCCGGGATGTCGGTGCCCCTAAACATGCCTTGAGGCCCATGCGCTTCATTTTAGCTTCTCTCTTCGGCTTCCATGGCTCTGGGAAAATGGGGAACAGCCGCTCTCTGCAGCCGATAAGCTTGACGTAGCATCCAATGATCTTCAACGATCCTGACGTTCGCGCGGTCCCTGTGATCTGGAACTTCTGAGTCCTGTAAGGGCCCAATAGGAAGTGTTCCTCCAGCGCGACAAACTCAACACCTTCAGCAGCTATCTTCAACGACTCTACGCCAAGCTCAAACTCATATGGATTCTGCATGGCTATGACGAAGCGATAGTGCTCATTCGCAACCAAGACTGTATTTGCAGCATTTGTTTGCGGCTTCTTCAGCCAGGCATTGTGAAGAAAAGGGCCGTCTTTTCCTTGGCTGTCCGACTTCAACTCGATCCCCTGTCTTTGAGTTAATCGGAGAGGTTCCATTTCCTCGAGAATGAACAACCCGCGCACGAGGAAGTCATCCCAGTATTCTGTCTCTACATGTTGTAGTCCAAGCTTCTTGGCGGCAGTGACGGTTCTCGAAATGTTGGAGTAGAGTCGGATCTGCTCATCTCGGGGAAGAGAGACGAACACGTCGGTGCTATTAGGTCTCGGCGCTGTTCCGGGACCCGCCACCCGGAGCAAGAGAGCAGTGAAATGGAGGACGCCATTAAAGTCTGGTAATGCTTCGCAGAAACTCAGGCACGTTCGTAATATCTCTAGCTTGAGACTCAAACTTCCGAAAGAGCGCAAAGACGATATTGCCAGTATGGTGTCAACGACGCGTTGACTAGCAATACTGTCCGATGCACTTTCTGCGTGCTCATTTCTCTGACTGGGCATTCCAATATTGGGCATGTTTCCTTTCGAATTGGGTATCCCGTATATCCGGCCTAGCAAGCCGAGGAATTCCTCAATCCCATTCTCGACTTCGCCCTCACCTAGATTGAGAGCACCACTCCCGGAGCTACCGCCGCTTGCGATGTTGAGAGCCGCAAGGCCAGCAGCTGGATGTACTCCCATCTCTGCTGCACCAACCTTGCGGGCCTGTATCAAACCAGGAACCAGAGACGTGATAAACTCCTTCATGACGATGGCTTTCTTGCGTTGTAGCCCTAAGGACGATAAGATTGAGGCAACACCAGCAAGCACTACGACGCGGTCTGTGGGGTTCATGCCCGAGCTCTCCGCTGGTCCAGGTAATGCACGAAATAGCATAGACGCTATATCATTACGCGTAGGGTGTACACTAAGCCTCGGAACCGAAAGGCGTGGCTTTTGCTTGTATGGCGTATTCTGCACAAGCTGGCGCAATGCATCATCATCTAGAAAGCCTCCGGATAAGTTGATGGCGGCCAGCAACTTGGAGAAGCGTATTACACATTCTGAAAACGCGAGCGGCGGCAAGGATTCGCCAGCGAAATTGGCCGCACGGGTATATAGGTTCAGTATCATGTTGACCATGTCTGGAAGCAGCGAGTTCAGGGCGTCCAGTGCGTTGTCATGTTTGTGGGGTTTGGCGGGAGCCGAAACGTCCGAGACACTGCTTGACGGTGTGTGAGTGGGTGACTTGTTACCTCCAGACTTATCGGATGTCGGATAGCAGATTGGGGGTATCTTGATGGTCAGTAAGTTGATCAGACTGACATCAAAGAAGAGTTGACTAACCTGGAAGTCCATGCCTGACCATGCAAAAAGAAGCATACAGACCATAATGTGTTCGAGAGCTTTAGCATGCCACAAATGGTCACTAAGAGCACGTGCTCTTGTCGCGGCTTCTGTAAGCTCTCGTACAGCCTCGACCCACTGGCCTGCGCACATGTACAAGGTACCGATCACGATTCCAATACGACCGCGTCCCTTGTTTCGAGCTCTTTCACCGACCCCGCCGGA